AAAAAAATCAAGAACTCCGATGACCATGTTGCTCAACTTTTGATTTTGGCAACCCAGTGGCAGAAGGACCCGCATTTGCAGGAAACCGCTGCTGTGCCCATTGCCAAAAGCAAGGAATTGCTTGATCTTTTGCGCAGACGTGAGTTTTGCGAGGTTAGAGCCGACATAGCAAGTTCGACTTTGGACCTCACAGTCCACTTGCTCATGCAGCGCACATGGAGTTTGAGTCGGGCAAGCGCGCCACCAGACTGCTATGCTGAGCTTTTGCACCCAGATGTTGACAAGCAGCAGGTGTCTGGTGATTGTAGCTAACTTGACAATGTCAATGTCTGGTTCCAGCAGTGAATCAGAATAGATTAGATTTCAATTAGGTTTGTGAATTAGCTGGCCCACTGAACTATGTTGGTGCTTGCCGGTGACCTCGCCTTGTTTGCTAGTTACGGTGAACTATGTTTTTTCGTGACTGTATGACATTGACTTGAAGCTTGTCATTGTTCCACCTGTCAGGCAGCAGCCCGCTTGCTGAAGCGAGATCACATTGCTGTTCTGCAGTTGGAACAGTGTGCTGCTGATTCTGGCAGAACCGTTCAGCTTCTTGAAGATTTGCGTCAAGTATTCACTCCCCCTGTCAAGCTCATGATGCAGGCATTTGAGGAAGACTTTTACCGATGTGACTCTCCAGCAGGACGCCACTGGCTATGTGGTCTCTTGAGGACCCTTCCGGATAACAAACTCATTGAAGATCTTCATGGTGTCTTGAGGAATGATGCCAAATCACAAAAGACGAGGCGGCAGACCTTGCACCACATTATGGAGCTGGTGACACAGTCGAAGCAACTTTCAAGCCGAAAGATTGTGCACAAACCGATGGTGGACCGAGCAGTGTTCTTGCAGGAATTTCCCAGAACACCAGACAAAGCGCGCAAGAGGCGTGGTGTTTTGACAAACAAAAGTCAAGTGGATGACAATAATAAGAGTAGCGCTAGTATTTCAAACTAAAATTGTTTAATGGCATGGAAGTATGTTGATTGTTGAAAGACATTTGCTTCTACTACTACACAACAGCTCAACATTTTTTTCTGTTCCTGCTCATTCAGGCGTTATTGGGCTCGCCATCACAAACTTGCCAAACACTGGTCGACGATAATGGGCAGGAAGCACTGGTCCACTCTATCTGAAGACATGCTTCACAGAGGTTTTGCAGCCCTCGCATTCCTCAGACACTACACTGCAGAGGGCATGGGCCGGGAGGGGATTCCAATGTCCCGTGGCTTGCTGTCAAAATTTGCGGTAGAGCTTCACGTCCTTAAGCACATTCCGTCTGACTATATTGGGTTTTGCCTTGGCAATGCTTGCTGGGCATGCCTGATGTGGCCTTTGCAGGAGTTTTGGGATGAAGATTCAGATTTCACTGGCTACTACTTGTCGCCGACTGGTGAGGCCCATTGGAAGTTTTTGGTGAACCCGCTGGATTGGCTGGTAGTGAGCTTCCAGGCGGAACTCTTCAATGACCAGATCTTCATGGTTCCCCAGGGCAAAGAGACATTGCTTCGATTTTTCTTTGCTGATGTCGCCTTGCATAAGAATGTCACTGTTGCCGACTTGATGGTTCTCAGCAGATTTCTCGATCTCAGTGAAGAAACAAAGAGGTTGAAGCGAGCTGATTTGATCCACAAGCTTGTTGATGAAATTGGTGGTCAAGATCAAGATTTCATCAGCAAAATCAAAGCTGACATGGCCAAGCCGGAGAAGAATGAAAAACTCATTGGTGATGAGTTGGATGAGTTCGTCTTGGCAGAACTCCCAGCAGAAGACCAAGATGAGTTTCGTTTGGTGGCCAAGGAGGTCGATAGCAGAAAGAAGGCTGGTTGGTCTCTTGTGGAATGCCAGTGGAAAAAAGCGATGGCCAAGAAGAAAGCTAAGGCTAAGCCAAAGGGCAAAGCCAAGGCGAAACCCAAGGCTAAGGCCAAGTGTGGTTTTGCAAGGAGGTCGCGGAAGCGAAAGGCGTCGGAGATGGAACAGGCGGTGACTTGACGTTGACATTGTTTTTTATTTTTTTTCAGTGGCCATATGGGTCTTTTGTCTTGCTCCAGTGGCTTTTGGGAGGTCTGACCACTGGATAGTGTTTCAGTTTGTGAATAAGTTAAGACTTTTCATGCTCCAGCTCATTCAGGAGGACGCAGCCGCCACTGATGCCCTTCGCCCAAGTGATGCTGGGTTTGCTCCCTTGCCGCCTGCGCCCGCCGAGGCTGAGCCTGTTGAACCTGCAGTGGCAGACGCGCCGTCAATTGATGCTCCGGGGGTTGACGCTGAGGCTCCAGTGGTGGAAGCTCCGGCGATTGAGCCTCCGAGGGTTGACGCTGAGGCTCCAGTGGTGGAAGCTCCGGCGATTGAGCCTCCGAGGGTTGACGCTGAGGCTCC